GTCTGACGCGTCTGCCTCCGCGACCCGAAAGGAGAAGCGGCGATGGAAGATGAAGATGAAGATGAATATATATATTAGACTGGTCAAGGAAGGAAGGTAACATCGCAGTATCAGTGCTAAAGGTTAATTGGTACAATTTGATGTGAAATTTTATTGTACTGTATTTGATTAGTGGTTGAAATATCGCACAAAGTTATCGACTGGCTGGAAAAAGGCTTTTGGGATGGTATGGAAATTGCCAATCAATGAATGATAGTCGTCTTCCAATGTGTGTACAGAAATCTACAGCTTGTGACATTCGGAAGCAAGGAGAATCTGCCAGAAGTCGGCTAGAATTTGTTTCATCTGATTTGGCATCAAAGGGAGTGAAAAATGAGCAGGTATGCATTCGGTGCACCAGGACTGATTTAACGAACCTGGTATTTTTTCAATGGGAACATAAGTCAAGTAATTTAATAAAACCAAAAATTTCGGGAAAAAATTGGCACGTATTTCAAATCTGTTTTATTTGAGACAAAAAAATGTAAAAAAATAATATTCACAGAAAGATAGCGTTTTAGGACCTTGTTCTTCTATCACCTAAGAATGAAACTGTTGATTAATGATTCATACAAAAACTTTCTTTAAAGTAAAGAACTCTCTTCTGAACCCTGACGTTCTGAATTCTCTATCCCAAGAGTATGGTATGTCGCAACCAATCTCCGTTGTCGTAGACACTCGTGATCGCAATTTCGTGGTATTCGTGGGGTGACGCTGGTATGTGAACGATGCCGGCGAAAACGTTGTAAAAGATCATATCACGGCACAGGAGAGGTGCGCCCACGTCTTGCTAAAACATGCATCACTCTTTGTAAGGTTTCTTTGTTAAGAGCACCTACGACTAGCAAAATTATGGGTTAGTAAATTGGTATTAACCGCACAAAAATCAATTTTTTGTTTTCACAAATCGAATAATAAACTCTTTTAAACCACCATCTTAAGTTAAATAAAATTTGCACATTTTCTTATTCATGTTTTCTGTTCGTAAGTTTATACAAGAAAAGCATGACAATGATAACATTTAAATATCCACTTAAGCAGCAGATGTTGCTAGATCTGATGATAAACAATCGTCTGCATGATTGGTGTAAGCCATTGCATATTCTCTATAATCTAGCATAACCTTCCATGTTTCAGATGATGGTCAGTCATCTCTCTGAAGAACTTTCACTTGTCAACGTACGGTCAGCTGTACTTTTTGCTGTTACTCAAAAAGACCCATTGACGCTTGAGGCAGTCGACTATTGTGACAGATGTAGCCTGGTTCTCTCAAAACTTATTTTGAACTTAAAAACAACGCAACCCATGTGAAAAGATGTGCTGAGTTTAAACCGAGAGAAAATGCGGTCGATGCTAATTCCTACGGAATGCTGAAATCGTGTTGTACATTTTTTAACAGAGATGAAAAACCTACGCACTGGGCAGAATACGGATCGAAGCGATGGGGGGAGGTTGGTGATATCTTGAAATAAGTTGAAAGAGCGTCAGTCACGTCAGTTACATCCCAAAAATGTAGGGACAGTTGAGGTCAAAACTTTACTTCAATTCGGAAAGCATCATAATAATATATGTATTATTCAGGAAATGCATAATCCGGTGTGCAACGGGGGTGCATATGAAGGGGTTGATTGTTCGATTTCGCGATTCAGCCGTTGAAAGCAGCTGAATTATTAGTTGATAGTTCAGGAATAACTAAATTAGCAATTTTGGTGATGACACGTGTGACTAAGATATCAATTTTCATTAAAAACGCTGTTGTAAAGTTTTCGTGATAAACCCCTGCCTTCGCATCACGATAGAACAAGATCATGCTCCTCATTAAAGACGGTTCATAACTCGGTTGAGGTGATTCACTTTACACACACAGCCAAGTGCATGTATTCGCAGGCAGAAACAGAGCCTGGGTTTGAAACAAGTTTGAAGATGTTATTCTGATGTGCTGCTTGCGGGACATTGCATTCATGTTGTTTTAAACAAGCCTCTCGAGGATGGGATTTTTTATAGACAAAATCGATCGGTGACTGATATCTGGCGTGATGATGAGCGCAAAGTGCGAATCGTGAAGAATATAGTTAGCACACAAAAATCTACGGCCTACGTGCTGCGGTTTTGCCTCAACTGTCGGTATGTTTCGTTACAGAATGAGGCTTAACAAAATCAGCGTAAAAATAGTCACCAATTCCACAAGGCTTCCACCCTGTGTTCTACTAGCGTAAAGCAGATGGCCTCTTTCGCCGCTTGCCATCGGATGACCAGTAGATATTTTGACTCCGATGGTTTTGATCAGTTTACGATCATTTAATGACCTGTCTTCTTCTGAAAAGTGACGTAGTGTATAAAGGTGATTAACTCTTTAGTTGCATAGTACTTTCGTATCCCCAACTGGCTATGTGACACGCCGACTGACTCGAAGGTCTTTCAGGAGGTAGAATGCACCTTCTGATTTCCATGTTTTGAGTCGGTGTCTTTGCGAAAAATAGCACTGCGATGTCGAAAGAATATTCTCCAGGTCGGTATTTAGGATGAACTTCGAATCGTCTGACTTCAAACTGCTCACGCGATCGCTCTTCCTCGTCTTTAAGATTGTATGCTCCAAGTAGGACGTCAATATCATCGCAAGTCGCATTATGATTTTCCCTATGAACAAACTTGGATACAGGTGATTTTGTTACATATATTGTGATGATGCGTGAAAACTTTTGGTTCTCAAAGAAACAACGGTAAATTGGGATGACAGGCTTCTCTAGGAAAATTAAAGAATCGGTTACAAAGCGGATCATATACTATGAAGTAGAATGAGAGGACTGATTATGAGGGCATAACTGACTTTTGCTGAAAGCACTTTTACATAGCCCTTTACCCGGCCACTTGCTGTTCCAAAATAAGATTATGACTGAGTGAAGATGCTTGATTGATGACAACACGAGATTCAGAGAAATTGATGATCTTCTCGTCGTTTCGACTGTCATCAGATGAAAAATCTGAATAAATAATGTTATTTGGAATTAAAAATTAATACCATCTTCCTTGGACAAAAACTGACCCTTCGCAGGTACGGTACGACATTGAGAGCGAGCTTGCTCAGTCGGTAGGCTCTGACTCAAAACCGAGATGAACTAGATTCAAGAACCGTTCGTATGTATCACCTATGGTTTTCCGGACATTGATAGATGAGCACTAATCTCTGAGGACAAAACATGAACATATGAATTATGCTTGCCATATGGGTTCAGTCGAATATGGCTCCACAATAAGGCATAATCTTTTTCACATGAAGAACGAAGGTTCATCAGTCATATAGGTTAAAGTAAATCACTTTTCGCAACGCCCCAAAGAACCGTTCAATACCAACCTCAGCAAGGCACTGGCCAGCGTGACGACCGCAACTTTCTGCTGCACTTGAACAAACACACCAACTACACTCTGGTCAAAAATTTCCATGTACACCAAGCAACCGATTTCTCTCCTTTTAGAAATCGATCCACTGATCATCCGAAAGGCCGTTTTCGGATTATCGTCAGCATCAGCATTCTATAAAGGTTTACAAGAACCGTAGCTATTATAGGATTGATATATTCAACGACTGTCAAGAACAATACCGTCGCATAGCAAGAAAAGCAGAAAGACGAGAGCATCAATTGCCAAACGTAGAGAAGCATTTTCGCCTTAGAAATATCGACGCAGTGCAATAGAAATGAGGAAGGATGGTATATATTGAGATCCATTTGGCCCTTGGCCAAGTTCCTTGTCAAGCATATTTTAGACGGCCATTTGTCTTCCAAATATTAAGGCAAATGTTCTATTGACATGGGTTTGACGGCGCACGTTATTCTTTCATTGTTTCATGAAGACATCGTCGTATTGAGTCTTGGCGCACTTGTACGTCGTCTGCCGTGGAGCTCTATTAGAGGCATTTCATCGTTCGGTGGATTCAGCTGCAGAGCGCAATTGCATGCATTATATGACGGGCGATTCTATTAGACGTACGGCTAATAACGGTTCGCCGGCTTGAACACAGACTGGCATAAACGGACTGGACAGACGCCGCCCGGGTGAGTGGCAGCAACGCACAACCGCATGCCGTTGGCGATACACATGGCAGGTACCTTGTTCGAGTCTAACCATAACTCTTAACCGCTTATTCCTTTCAGACATAGGTTCAGTGACGTGCTTTTGACGCTTTAAGCGGAAAGTCCGGTTAGAAACCTTTCGTTTCAGCATGAGGACAGCAGAAACGGAAAGGCGTCTTGAAGTCGAATTTGAAGTGAGTATGCTTAACGGGTGAACTCTTATTTTAACCATTTGATACACGTTCTACAAATATGCTGTGAAGCGAGATATTCAAAGAAAAGTCCAAACATAATTTTTGGATTAAAAATATTGAAAATTTCATATAAAAAGCGAAATACAATTTAAAGAACCATACCAAACAATTTCATAAACACAGCGTCAGCAGACGAACAGCGCATAACGGTAACCTTCGACTTCTGTGAAATCGATCTGTCAGCAACGATTCAAATCATAAATGGCCACGTAAACGTTTTTGAGTTGGTTTTATAAACCACAGATTTTATTTGGCGTTTTCCACTCCCATCAAATCGCTAAAAATATTTAGATAGCCGTCGTCGCAAGACCTATTGGCTAAGCTACAGGAGTTCCCTACCTCGATCACCCGCAAAATATTGTATCGAAAATTTCCCCGATTGGGGATAGCTCAATGGCGGACAGCGTTAGCTACATTTCCCTCGTTTCTGATCAGTTATCATTTATGAACAACGTCACATCGTTATTTATACTGAATAATCACGAACACCCTCAAAATAATTTGCTCTAGCGAATTCATCAGCTCAACCTGCAGCTGATGAGGAACTATTCCTACAGACTACTTACACGGTTTTGCAACCATGTACGTTCCAGTGAAGTTCCGCTGTTATTGCGGCGTGTGCCACGGATACTTTTATTTCTTACGTTTGCGTGACATCGAAAACCGCACTGTCCGCTGCTCAGCTTTCACTCATCCTCATACTTTTCCCTTTTACTTGAAATGATAACCATACCTGCTTCGATCTTGTGATACGTGTCCATAGTTCATCAACAGTTTCAGGTTTACATTCCCCCAGTGTCATCCATAGCTTAGCACTGGGAGCATATGCTAAACGCAACGCTTGCTTTTCAGACACAGTGTCAGGTCCCCTGTTAAGGATACTTTCATTTTTTCAAAAGGGATGCATCTCTTTCATTCATTTCTTGTTTTTTCGTTGTCAATCCGCCATCACCATAGCTAGGCTCTTTGCATCCAAGGACTATTAAGTTCAGCCAGTGCATGGTTACGTATTTGTTGATGGAGGCATCAATCATTTTTGACCTCATGTTAAACCTACTTCGAAACTTTTGCTGTACTGCAGTTTTGCTGTTCGTTCGTTCTATCCGTCAGCGTTGGTGCCTAACTCTATTTTAAGATGAAACTTACCTTACTGATGGCACGCATTATGTGCGATGCAAGTAAGCGCCGATGACGGTAGCAGGGATATTGACATTCCTATATCTTTTTGCCCTATCATAGGTTCAGTAACGAAGAAAGGTGCTGATCATCACAGAACATATACTCTAGCGCTGAGTCACAGCCGTGGCATAACGGATCCACCCTCAATCCTCGTCAATCAAATCACAGAAAAAATAGCTCTGGGTTTCGAATTTACCCGAACGTATGCATACAACCTTTATCTCCACCAATTGAAACCGCTGCTAAAAGCAGATGAATTAAGTCAGTTATGTCTGAACGAAGGAGTAACATTGTGTTGGTTGTAAATCATGCTTCATTTCACAATCGTACAAAAAAAGAAACGTAAAAGTCATGGACAAGCCTCGAAAATCGACTGCGCAGTTTCCATTAGCACGTAACGCATTTCAAAGTTTGGATAAAAGTACGACCGACAGAGCGTCAGTCCCATGACAATAAACAAGAAATTTGTGTCTGCTGCCATGTCGGTTACTGATTCGTTTTGGTGGCTTCAAGGAAGAACCCGCATATCAATGAACGCTGTAATATTTAAGGATTTATTAATTCATTACGCAAACTGCATATGGTTAAAATTGTTTGTAAAACTATTGCACTTCTCGTCTCTTCGAACTCGAAAGGACCCGCAATCCAAACTGCCTTGGCCAAGTGCTACGTACGAAGACGAAGGAGTGCACGCAATGGTTCGCCACCTTACGTTGTAGTTCACATAATTGAAATTCCGTTTTGTGGTAGACCAGGACCATGAGGAGAGTTTTGACTAGCAGCTGCCTTGGGATACTAAACCAATAGCGGATATGGGGATGATATCCACAAGTGAAAGTTCCCTTGTGTACGACAGCGTTTACACATTGCAATGGGTGGAATAACTGTAGGATTCGTCGTAGCAGGTCGGAAACAACCAATCAAACGAAAAGCTGTAACCAGCGTTGGAAACTGTGATTTTGCCACTGCTGAAAATAGAGAAAAATATTCATCTGGATAGCCCAACAGTTGACCATGAAATTAGCACACTTTTAAACGAAGAATGAAGCAACTGGCTCGAGAAAGGTCTCAAAACGATTTGATTTATTTTATTTGCGGTAGTACTGTTGTGACCATTCGTTAATCTACCAGTTTTTACCACCCAATTTAATATTCATGTTTATTATAATCCTGCTCCATTTTTTAGACATTACTCAATTCTAAACCGTGAGCGCTCAGTAGATCATAATTGCTTCTAGATAATCTAAATGGTTTTCAGTCACTTGCTCAGCAATAATTGATACTGAGCCCTCGCTAATTAGTTCGACGTTAAAATAGAACAGATTTGTTAAAAAAAAGAGCAAAATATGTTGTGTTTAATTAAATTCAGCATTTTTCTTAAGTCTCTGGACAAGGTAATTTGAACCGATGGTAATCCAGATGAACGTACACAGACGCTTCAGCGACCCGGTTTTTTTTTATGCCACTTTGAACGTGATTCTACGTCGGAATTTCCGCTTTGGTCTCGTTCTATTGATCATCCGATACCCGTACTCCCTTACTTACCCTTCATCTTCATCCTCATCTTCCAGCGCCGCTTCTCCTTTCGGGTCGCGGAGGCAGACGCGTCAGACAGTGCTTCCAACGTTCCCGATCCTGTGC